TGTTGTTTTGCTTTGTTTTTTTTTTTTTTTTGAATGTCCAGAGGACCAGATTTAACTTTTTTAGAGAATTCAAAATCTTACTTCTAACTTACAAAGCTGTCAACAACCTGGATCCATCTTATACTACATATCTTATTGTTCCATATTTTCCTAACAGAGCACTTCGCTCTCAGACTGTAGGTTTACTTGTGGTTCCTAGAGTTTCCAAAAACAGAATGGGAGGAAGATCTTTCAGTTATCAGTCTCCTCTCTTGTGGAACCAACTTCCAGTTTCTGTTTGTGAGGCTGACACATTATCCAGTTTTAAGACTGGGGTTAAGACTTTCTTTTTTCCTAAATCCTATAGTTAGGGTCGGCTTGGGTTTCCTGAGCTGTCCCTTAGTTAAGCTGCTATAGGTTTAGACTGCTGGAGGACAAACTGACCACAATTTTCACTCTACTACTGTCTTTACTTACTCTGCTCAACCTGTTTTGTATTTGTAATTATTTTTCTATCCTTAACATGTGTTTTTTTGTCTTTCAGGTACATCTGGACCTATACCTGGACCTGGACCTGGACCTGGACCTATACCTGGACCTGGACCTGGACCTGGAGCTATACCTGGACCTACCATTCTATGTTCGTCTGTCTCTCCTTCCTGTCCTCTCAACCAGCCGGTCAAAGCAGATGGCTGCTTGTCCTGAGCCTGGTTCTGCTGGAGGTTTCTTCCTTTTAAAAGGGAGTTTTTCCTTTCCACTGTTGCCACTGTGCTTGCTCAGGATGGGAGACTGCAACGAAGCTAAGATTCAACTTGTCTGCTGGATTCCTTAGATAGAGAACTTTACTAATTTGCTTTTATGTATGTGAATGTTCCTGTAAAGTGCCCTGAGACAACTTTGTTGTGATTTGGTGCTATATAAATAAACTGAATTGAATTGAACTGAATGTCTGTGGTCATTTAGATCCTGAGACATGTGTTGCCTTTAGTGTTTCTGTTTATTCAAAGCACCATAAGGTGACTGTTTGGACTCTTGACTTAAACCTCTGAGTGTGGCAGAGGTTTTAGTTTCAATTTGGATGAAACACTGCTAAAAAGCTTTTCTATTAACCGGTGGGATGTTCAACTCCGGGTCGTGGGAGTCTTTGCCTCAGGTGGAGGAGTTGAAGTATCTGTGAGTTTTGTTCATGAGTGATGGTAGGATGGAGCAGGAAATGGATTGACAGATCAGGGCCTCATCCTCAGTAATGAGGGTGTTGCTTTGGTTGGCAGTGGTGAAGAAAGAGTTGAGTCAAAAGGTGAATCTCTCAATAAACTCATATACCGGTATGTTCCAACACCTTTGGTCATGAGGTCTGAATCATGATGGAAAGAACGACATCCTGGATACAAGTAGCTGAAATAATCTTCCTTTGTAAGGTGGCTGGACTCAGCCTTGGAGACAGGGTGAGGAGCTCTGTCATCCGGGAGGTGCCTGGAGAAGAGTCGCTGCTCCTTCGCAACAAAATGAGTCAGTTGAGGTGGTAGTGACACCTGGTGCCTCCTGGACGCTTTGCTTTGGAGGTTTGCCAGTCATGTCCCACTGGTGAGTGGCCTGAGAAAAGTAGAAGACCCAGAACTCACTGGAGGAATTCCTGTATATACCTTCTCTGGCCTGAAAACACCTTGAGATCCTCCATGACTCATCCGCTGAAGAGTGCTGCTGGGGAGGGGAGGTCTGGGTTTCTCTCCTGGACCTGTTGCCTCCACTACCAGACCACTGATAAGCAATAGAATATGAGGATGGAGAAAGAGTACAAAGCATGATATTTTGTTCAGATTGTGTTCCCGTGCTATGATGACTGTCTCTAATGACATGTTTTTAGGTTTCCCTCTTGTCCCCCCCCCCCCAAAAAAAGGTCAAAGTTTTCACTTCTTTTGTGTAAGAATTTTATGTATCAACTAAAATAAGGTTCATGACTTGGTAAAATTCTAATGATTCTTATTATATCCATCCATCCATTATTTTTTTTATCTGCTCCTTCCTTTTTGGGTCGCGGGGGTCGTCATGTCCAGCTGTCACTGTGTGAGAAGCGGGGGACACCCTGGACAGGTCTCCAGTCCATCACAGGGACACATAGAGACAAACAAGACAAACAACCATTCAGTCTCTCACTCACACCTAGAGACAATGAGTTACCAATCAGTCTAACATGCATGTTTTTGGTCTGTGGGAGGAAACTGGAGTACCTGGAGAAAACCCACACAGCACGGAGAGAACATGCAAACTCCACCCAGAAAGGTCCATGGACCGAGATTTGAACCGGAGCAACCTGTTGTGCCAACTGAGAGGCAGCGGCTCTACCAACTGAGCCACCGTGCCACTGTATTCCTATTCTTTGTATTTCTATTGTATTGTTCCTGATTTTATTCTTGCTTTATTTTGTTACTATTATTTCTATTTTCTTGCTCCTGTATGATTTTAGAGCTGTTGAAGTGAAACTGACACTTCATGACAATAAAATGTCCCCCAGGCTTCAACACAACCCTGTAAAGACTTAATGAAGGTTTCTGTCTCCCTCTGCAGTCAGCCTCAGTTTTGTGCAATATCACAAGAGCCATAGCTCCAGTAAATTTAACATATTTCACTTTGAGTTTTATTTATGAAGTGCTTCGAGAGGCTGGTCATGACCCACATCAAGGACTCCATCGATGTCACTGTGGACCTACATCAGTACGTTTACAGAAGGAACCGTTCCACTGCTGACGCCATCTCATCTGTGGTCCACACAGCCCTCACCCACCTGGAGAGCAGAAATTCTTACATCCGTCTGCTCCTTCTGGACTCCTCCTCGGCCTTCAACACCATCATCTCACAGACCTGGTGCAGAAGCTCTCCTTTCTTGGACTGAGTCCCACACTGGGAAACTGGATTCTGGACTTCCTGACCAGCAGACTTCAGACTTGTCAGGATCCACAACAATCTCCACCTCTATCACCCTCAGCCCTGGCTCGCCCCAGGGCTGCGTGCTGAGCCCCCTCCTGTTCACTCTGCTGACATATGACTGCTCGGCTAGACACTCCAGCTGTCATGTAGTGAAGTTTGTGGATGACACAGCAGTAGTGGGACGTATCACGAACAATGATGAGTCTAAACACAGAGAGGATGTGGAACACCTGGTGCAGTGGTGCAGAGACAATAATCTCTGCACCAATGTGAAGAAGACCAAGGAGATGGGACAAAGATCCTCTTCATCCCCTACACATTGGAGGAGCAGCTGTGGAGGTGGTCTCCTGCTACAGATACCTGGGGGTGCATATATCCAGTGACCTCACCTGGAGAGCCAACACTTCCTGTCTGGTCAAGAAGGCCCACCAGCATCTCTACTTCTTCAGGAAGCTGCGTAGAGCTGGATTTGGGAGCTCTGTTCTGAGGAGCTTCTATCACTGTGTGGTGGAGAACGTTCTCTGCACCTTCATCTCTGTGAGGCACGGCAGCTGCTGCTGAGAGGATGGCTCTGCAGAGGTTAAGGCTGCACAGACGACTGTGGGGAGCAGCCTTCCCACCACCTCAGACCTTTACACATCACGATGCAGGGGGAGGGAGCTCCGCATCATGAAGGACTCCACTCATCCTGCACACAGTCTGTTCCAGCCCCTCCCCTCAAGCAGGCAGCTGAGGAGCATTCAGAGCAAGACCACCAGGCTCTGAAACAGTTTCTTCCCTGCAGAATCAGAATTAGAATCAGAATAAACTTTATTATCATTGCACCGAGATACAACGAGAATATGTACGTAGTCGTCCGAAAGATGGGCGGAGTGCACGAAGCTGTGTCTATAAATAGCGCAGCCCTTTTATTCTTATTCAGAATAATATTTTGCTTAGATGAGAAGATGAGAAAAGGGAAGAAAACATGAGGAGAAACGGTATAAAAATAAAGATCTCTCACGCCGTGTCCTAGACAGGACACGATTTGAGGCATCAAAACAAACCTACCACAGCAAAGCAACATAAACAGACATTTATGTGTGTGTGGGGGGGGGGGGGGGGGCAGGGAGACATGTCTGGTTTCACCGGAGTACAGAAGAAAAAAAAAAAAGCTGTCAGACTGCAGAACTCAAGCTGCACTTCATTCAGCTTCATCTTAACTATATTTATTATATATACATACTTTTTTGTATTTATTTATTGTTGGGCTTCTTGACCTGGGACCCGAGGCCTAATTTCATACCATAAGAATGAAAATGTGAGCTGGTATGACAATGAAAAATCCTTGAATCCTTATATTATGTTTTTACAAAGATGGAAATGTTCCAAGCAGGGCATCATTCCTTCAGAAGAATGAACAGAGAAAATGAGAGAAAAGGAAAAAAGTGTAAGTGCTTTTATTTACAAGATCAACAAGGACCAGGTGGATCTGAAGAGAAGGAGGCACAGTGAGTATCATTATTTCATGTATAATAATGTAGGCTGGACAGAGGCAAATGCCACCTGTGTTGTCTGCTCTTTATTCTAGGCTCAGGAGGAGGTAGGAGGTCTCCAGTCCTGGGGTGAGTTGGCATGGGAGTCCAGAAGGTTTAGTGAGAACATGGTGCAGAGGGACAGGTGGGACCAGAGATGAGTTGCAAGGGCCAAAATTGTCCAGACGACTATTTCAGGAGATGAAGAGTACGTGATAGTGAAGGGCAAATGAAGCTTGTTTTGAAAAAGAGTTCATAACTTGAAGCTTTTCAGCATATTGCTCTTTGACAACATCTTGTGGCCAAAAGTATAAAGAGCTGCTTGAAACCAGAGCGTGAGATGAACGCTTCATCATGGCTGTCCAACCAACCTGCTTTAACTTCTGTTAAATATCCTGAGACATTTCTCTCTGATACTGAGCTGACATTGAGGTGCTTTGAACATTTGATTTATTGCAGGTGAAATAACAAAATTATGCTTATTTGAAGAATAAATATTTTTGATGAATAAATAAAACGTGGTATGACGCCCCTTTGCTTGTGACTTCTTGACATTTGTCAACACAGATTTTTTCATCCATCCATCCATCCATCCATCCATCCATGCATCCATCCATTATCTTTATCCTCTTCTTTCTTTTTGGGGTCACGGAGGTCACTGGTGCCCATGTCCAGCAATCACTGTGCGAGGGGTGGGGGACATCCTGGACAGGTCTCCAGTCCATCACAGGGACACAGAGACAAACAACCATTCACTCTCTCACTCACACCTCCACAGCAAAAACAGGAGTGTTAATTCAACTCAGAGTGTTAAATTTGACACTTTTTCCGAGCTTATATAATCCTCACAGATTTTGTGTTAAAATTACACTTTGAAAAGTGTTAAGTATTTGACACCCCTGGAGTTATTTTATGACACCACTTAAATGCACTTTTAACTCAAAATTGTGTCATTCCCTTTCACTGTAAGTGTTAATTTTTAACATACATTGTGTTATTTTATGACACATTAAAAAGTATTTTTAACACTAAACTTGTTTTTTTTTCTTTCACTAATGTGTTTGCATTCATTGCTTTGCTTTACAAAACATTAAAAGTGCATTCTCTGTTTACTAGCCTAACATACAAGTCACCAAATCTGAAAATGATTGTCGTCACCTGCAAGGCTACAGAAAGTTTACACACAACACATGATTTACAGTTACATCATAAGTTCATATGTTTTGACCAGCAAGTAAAAAAAAGAAGAAGCCATTTCTTTTATTTTCTCCAAAAATAAATAACTTCCCAGCACCATAGGAATTAGCACAATAAGATCAGGCACAACTTGAACATTTACAAAGAAAATAATGGCACAATATATTGGCTCTTATCTCCACGATAAACACTTTGTAAGTTGAACGGTTTATAAATCACAAGACCATCTGCTTTAACATCTTTGTCATTAATTTCAAATACTTTGTAAGCATGAACATGTTCACCGAAATGGTCAACCACAAGCTTGTTTACAAGGAACCAGATAACACCATCAACAACAATTTATTTATTTATTTATTTATTTATTTATTTATTCTGTAAAGCACAGGCATTTCATGTTCGATGCCACTGTAAATTATTAGTCCCGGCCTGTTTTCTGTCCCACTGATTGTAACCCAGTTAGTTGCATGGATGTCTTGTGATACAGACTCAATATGCAAACCTGGAGCCAATTCATCTCCATAGTCTTCATTGTCTACATTAGATTTCATTGGTCCATACTCCATATATTTTGAATGTGATGTCTCCCAGTGACATGCAATAGACATTTGATGTTTCTTTGCAAAAGATTTTGTAATGTTTTTTAAGTTTTTAAGAGCATTTTTTTTAATTTTGTGTTTTGCCTCAAATCTCATGCTCCACATACTGTATGTATTAGTGGTCAATTTTTCGGATACAAGATGGATAGTGCATCATAAAGTGATGTTTAGGGATCAGATTTTTATCTGGATACAGTTCATCACCATCATCATCCCAGTCCCAAAAAGCTCTACAGTGACTGGTCTGAGTGACTACCAGCCAGTGGCCCTCACCCCGATAGTCGCTAAATGCTTTGAAAAACTGGTCATGACCCACATCAAAACAACCATCAACATCAACGAGGACCCTCATCAGTATGCATACCATGAGAACAGAGGATGCCATCTCCTCTGTGGTCCACACTGCGCTCAACCACCTGGAGCAGAAAAACTCTTACGTCCGTATGCTCTTTGTGGACTTCACATCCGCCTTCAACACCATGATCCCCCAAACCCTGATGGACAAACTACTCACACTAGGACTAAGCCCCTCCATTTGCAACCGGGTCCTAGACTTCTTTACAGACAGACTGCAGTCAGTGAGCATCCACAACTTCTCCTCCTCCACCATGACCCTCAGCACTGGCTCTCCTCAGGGATGTGTGTTGAGCCCCCTCCTGTTTACTCTGCTCACATATGATTGTGCAGCTACCCATCCAGGCTGTCACATTGTAAAGTTTGCAGATGATACAGCGGTGGTGGGATGCATCACAAACAATGATGAGTCCAGCTACAGGCAGGAGGTGGAACACCTGGAGAGCTGGTGCAAAGATAATAACTTTCACATCAATGTGAAGAAGACAAAGGATATGATCGTGGACTTCAGATGGAACAAACACACCTACACCCCCCTGAACATAGGAGGATCTGCGGTGGAAGTGGTCTCCAGCTACAAGTACTTGAGTGTACACATGAGTGACAACCTCAGCCGGGGCAACAACACCACCAGCCTGATCAAGAAAGCTCGTCAGAGACTCTACTTCCTCAGGCGGCTGAGACGAGCTGGACTGGGAACAGTCCCCACCTCCTTCTACAGGTGTGCAGTGGAGAGCATCCTGTGCTCCAGCATCAATGTGTGGCATGGAGGCTGCACAGCTGCAGAAAGAAAAGCTTTGCAGAGAGTGGTGAAGGCTGCACAGAAATCTGTTGGAATAAGCCTCCCCACCACCACAGACATCTACACCTCCAGATGCAGGAAGAGGGCCACCTGCATCATGAAGGACCCCACTCACCCAGCACACACTTTCTGCCCCGCTCCCATTAGGAAGGAGCTCTGTCTGTCTGTGTCTGTCTGTCTGTCTGTTTGTCTGTCTGTGTGTCAGTCTGTCTGTCTGTCTGCCTCTGTCTCTCTGTGTGTGTGTGGTTTCTTGAATACAGATAATATGAGGTTTATCTTGTAGTTGTGATATGTAATGTCTAACTTTAAAAGTGAATTCAAAGTCAAAGCTTGTCCATTCGAGATGAGACTTCTAGTGTTCCACTGAAATATTTGAATGAACATGTAGTAGTACCACCTTCTGAGTGAGTTACTCCTTTACCTATCGTGCTCTCTACAGATTCCCAACCAAGGTCTTTCACATCCAGATATTTTTCTGCAGCCCTCACTCTAATTTTAATCTTTTCAGTTTTCTTTACTGTCTGAGCTGAGCAATTCATCACTTCCACCACAAACAGCACAAAATCCTTTAGTTCACTATCATTGAGTCATTAGCTATTTTAGAGCATCCATCACAAGCCTTTGGTTTTACGTTTGGTGTTACTGTAAGTTTAGGTCTCTGGTTATTTGGGATTTTTTTTCACAGCTTCAGCATAAGTAATCTCTTGTACTAGCTTCACTTTTTGGATTTCCTCTGCTCTTTTACTAACCTCACATCCACGATAAGCAGCAGTGTGTTCTCCTCCACAGTTACAACATTGAATTTTTGCTTCTCTTTCACATTTCCCATACTCATGTTCACCAGCACATCTTCCACCTCCTTGTTTTCCTTTACATATTGCTGCTACGTGTTTGAATTTCTGACATTTGAAACATCTTAAAGGAGGAGGAATGTACTGTTTGACATAGCTCATGTATCCTATGAAGATTTTACTGGGTAAACATGCTTCTTCAAATTTAATCAGGACTTAATCGGGCTGTCACATCTTTCTCCATTTCTTGTTGTTTTCAATCGTTTAATTTCTTTCACTT